CGGTTGCCCAGGCCGAAGTAGAGGGTTGTCTTAGGGGGCCCCACTCCGAGCCTCTGGTCAAGGATCTAACCTACAAGGCAGCAGGGCGATATAAGGGTATCGCAACCCGTTGGGAGCCGATGACCAAATGAGTGGTTCATACGCCTTTAGGGCCGCATAGGACCAGGGGCCCAACACACCCTTGAATCACAATGCCACTCAGAGAGGCAAGGGGCAGTGACTTTATTTAGTGGTGAGTCACCTCCGCCACGTCACAGTGTTGTTAAATGGACATATGTGGCTTTTTATAGGGAGAACGTTTGCCAGGCGAAAAACCCACCATGTCCTGGAACACTGCAGCCGAACCATTCGATGGAACGGGATAATCCCGAACCACCCAGCTGGCAGCACGAGGAGGTTGTTCGGCAAGCCAGTCCTTCTTCGGATAGCATCCAAAAGATATGCGAACAAACATGAAGCAGATCTCATAACTGTTCGTACGAGGATCAGAAGTCAGGGAAAATTTGAGTTCTTCAGGACAAGAGGAGTTTGCCAGGGTTGGCTTATATCTGCTATTTTCAACTTTGTGATGGAAATAATCACAAATGACTCACTTCTTTCAGGCTCTTCCGGAATGGAGGTACTACCAGGTGACCGACTGACAAACTATAAGTACGCGGGTGACATAGCTGTCTTTGGGTCTGATGCAGTGGTTAGGCAGGCGCTACTGAATAGACCCGGGTAGCAATGCACACCTCGGCATGTGTTTTGCATCCTCAAAGTGCTAAGTACCGCTGCAGGACTGCACCGACACACATTCGGTTCGAGCTATCAGTGAACAGCCACTGGAAGTGGTGGATCGGTTTACTTACCTTGGCAGCTGTACCACCTCTGGTGGTTACATCAATGAGGAAGTCACTTCGCGTAATCATGAAAGACCGTGTGGCTCTCAGAGGGTCAACCCTCTGTGGAGACGACGAAACATCAGTCTGTCAGCGAAATACAGGATGTAAAACGTTGCGATAAGCTCGGTGTAACTATAGATCAAAGACATGGCCAGTTCGCAAAGACATTAAACGCTTGGTCATGATTGATCACCAGTGCCTGTGGAGCACTGGTCACATTTGGTGTGAACATCGGATGAGCAATGTTGAGGTCCGCCAGCTGGCTTTTGTCGAAAAACCTTTTGGTGCCGCACAGAGGCGTTTGCTGATCTTAAACGGCTTACCTTGACTAGGTTATGTCCTCCGTATGTCCTTCGACTGGCTTGCTCGGCGTACACTACACGCCGCTGCTGCACCAAGTTGGGCGAAACTGTGAGGTGGCCATTAGATGACGTGGTCTAGAGGCATGAAGAAAATATCAGAGACATGTTCGGGCTAATGGGTGAGGGCATCAAGGTCGTCTATATCAATGGCTTGAAGCTCTAACTGAGACGACATAGTCGCATTGTAAGTACGTTCCTACACTTAGTTTCTTGAATTTAGGTATTACCGTACATTTCCTTGTATAAGATGATCCGTATATAAGCCGACAGCATGAATTTGCAAAGTCAGATTTGTCCAAAATCGTAACTTGGTATATTAGTCGACCCCCCAAAAATCAACAGAGATGAAATTGTTTCTCATGATTTTGACTTCTTCACTAGCCGCTCTCACTTGAGTGTGCTCAAGCGAAAGCTGCTCTACCATTGGCCAGTTCTGGTGACCTAATGTGTTATGATCGCAGTTACTGGGGCTTAGAGTCGTCAGAACAAAGATTTGGACGTCAAGTGACACGAAACGGGTAAGACAACCGATAATATTGTGGAGGATGAAAGGGTATGCCAGACACCGCCTCGCATAGTCGGGAGCCTCAGGCATCTGACTCGCAGTGGAGCAGCGGGTGAGAGAAAAGTTCACGATCAATAGGGTGGGAGGACGTTGTACTTTTCATGCACCAGACTGACTAGCATAGCATAATGTATAAGCGCTGTGATTCGCTAACCAAAATAGCGCTAACGCGACGTCACACGATCCAGCTGAGAGGGAATGTGCCCACATTTCGTGCGATCTTCCAAAGCCGTGGAAACGTGAAAAATGTCTGGACAGAAGCGATGTGCATATGCTGCTGGCTTTAAATGAAAAGTTATCGCGTTTGCTGAGCAATCTAATGATTGCATGGCTGCAAGCCATTTCACGGTGAATGAAAAGCAAGTGAGAGAATGGCGAAAGGGAAGGTCAGAATTGTCACTAATGCCTGTAGGCAAGAGAGCAGCACGCGGTAGAACAACTGTTTTTGCACTGGAGGAAAAGTTAGCGCAGTGGGTTATGGAGTCCCGGCACAGCGGGTAGATTGTTACACGAACGAACATTCGGATCACAATGTTAAAATATCCGGAATTCCAGCCGTTAAAACCAGTGAATTTTGTTGCTTCCTCTGGATGGTGCAATCTTCTTATGAACCGATTCGACATATGTCTACGGACCCGCACAAAACTAGCTCAGAAACTGCCGAAGAAATTGGAGAGTAAAGTCGAGTCTGTTCAGCTGAGCAATAGAAATCTGAACCGTCCCAAATAGGAAATATGGACGAGACGCCCGTGTGCTTTGATATGCCTTCAAATCGCACGGTGGAGCAGAAAGATGCGAACACTGTGTTTGGAAAGACGGCGAAACACTAGAACACACGGTTCACAGTTGTTTTAGGGTGTATGGCGGATGGTTCCCGTCTAACACCTTTCATTTTTCTTAAGTGTAAGACGCTGCCTAAAGGAGCGAATTTCCTAACCACCGTTCGTGTGGGCTTACGCGAAAACATGAATCGACAAGAGTGGCACTATAGACTGGCTGAATACAGTTTGGAGGAAGTGAAACTGTGCCCTTTTAAAGAAACCATCTTTAGGGTACACCGAACTGAGAAAGTGGAGAAACCATGCCGTGAACTAAAATCGTCTGTGGCTTTAATTACAGGTGAATTTACATCAATCTTGCAGCCACTGGATGTCTGTCTCAATAAGCCCTTTAAAGGTAGGCTTCGGACCAGGTGGACTGTATGGGTGGCATCGTCTGATTTAGCGTTGAGGAAGAGAGAGTGGCAATGTGAAACAGGTTGATATTGTTATAATTGCAGAGTGGGAGAAAGAAGCGTGGCTAGATATTCCATCGGAAATTATCGTACGATCATTAAAAAAGGTGCTGCATCAGTAATGCCATGGATGGGAGGGAGGAAGATGCCATTTTTGAGGAATAGGACAATGACGAGAGCAGTGAAGTTGAAGATGACGATATTCACCTTGACGTCCCAAAGACAGACGATCAGTATCAGAAACTGTCTAGAAATTCTGACTCGGATTCTAGTTTCGAACGATTCGAGTAATGTTAATATCATTGTGCAGCGTTTGGATATGTGAGCCTATAAAAGCTACCGGTACGTGCTGTTCTGTCATGTCTTTTTCCAACGTTATTGTGTATAATGGTGTTCCATTCTGTATAATCACTGTTTCTGTTACTGCCATCCGTCGGGAAAGTCAAATGTGCAATATCCCGAGAATTTCCGACACAAACATAATGTGATTACCTATAGGCACTTCAAATCCCCGCCTGGGATAGCATCTGACATTGTATAAGCCGACTCCCCACTACAGACATGGAAAATTGTGCAAAATTCCTCCGCTCATACACGGCAATATACGACAATTTTTATTTCATCCTTACTCATTTGACGCACTTCTTTCATAATTTTATCTGCGTGTAACTTCATCGCTGAATCGTGGCAACTGGATCCACTGTACTACAGTGCCCGGATTATAGAGTTCAATCTGAAGATAAGAAGTGACTCGCGTCGTTCGAAAATGGGTTCAAGTGAAAACGACACTGCCCTGCGCCACCGGTTTCGTAGTTGTATGCAATCATAGACTAATTTTACCCTGCAATTTTGTCTCGTTAGGCGCAGCGATATAAATCAAGCTGAGGAAGGCGCCGGACGGATATATAGAAGATATGGCTTAGTCAAAGTAGACAGCTCCAGAGACATCAAGCGGCTTTTCGAAAATACTAACCGCGGACTTCAGTGTTGCTCGCCTACTGATCCCACTAGATGAGAACAGTAGAACGCAAGTACCCATGAGCAAAAGACGACTTGTCGCTTACAGTCTTTAATTCAAAATACCCAGGTTTCTGATATATGCAGTAAAACCGCTTTTAACGTACGTTATAAATTCCAACTCTAACTGATAAGTTGACATCCAGCCAATTCCATAGATAATTGGGAACCTGAAAAGACACACCTATGCTGTTTTCAGCAGTAAGTTCGCCACGAGGTGACCATCAGAGGCGACGCAAAAAGGAAGTTGAGTGAACTGGTCGACGACTTTGGATACCTGTTAAGTGCTGGTTAGGACCAGTGGGATGTCGGCTCAGTATCATAACGGTACCATGCACTTCAAAGATGCGAGTCACATGTAAAAGCGTAAACTGTTACAAGTCGGCGTGTATCAATGGGATTAAAAGGGTCAATCCCGTCTTGCGCAAAACCTTGCCGTGAGCAATGGCAACTGCGCAAGTATTCCCGAGTGCAGCAACTGATAACCAATGTAAGAAAAACTAGAGATAATGATGTCCGAAATATATATAAGAGAATGTTAAGTGACCGTCCGCAAGGAAACCCGGATTTACTCGAAGCTTCTTGCTTACAATCAAAGCCGCTACCACTACAAGACACTGAAAATGTTCCTTTGGTTGGTGGCAAAACGACAGCAAGCAAATTCTTAAACTGAGCGAACAAGTTTACATCTTAACAAGCAACTCGAGCTTCCGGCATTTCGATTGAGGGCATCCGTCAGTCGATTTGGCGGTACTTGCATGGCATCTGGTTTCCTATTCAAGCAGAGCCATGTCCGCGAGCGAAGACGGGAATGTGTATCAAAGCCTTAACAGGGCAAACAAATGGTATAAAGAAAACCAAGCCATGCGTGCGATACAAAGTCGGTAACTGCGAGGGACATACACGCTGTTAGCAGGTAACAAAGGAGAAATGCTTACGTTAGTGCCGACACCGTTCTGGTCGGGCAAACCGGATGGGGAGTTGGAAGCATCAGCTAGGGTGAACTGGCTGAGACCGTTTAAACAAAACGGAGAGAGTTTGCATGTCGACCTGGAGAAATGACATGAAGTGGAGATAGAGTGGGTTGATTATGAGGTAGCAGCAATCAAGCAAGTAGATGACAACAAAGAAAACACCAAAGCAGTGGATAAAAAGAGTTCAATAAAAAACGAATAAAGAAGGCATCAGCACTATGCCGGCACATTGTACCGATGCTTCGCTGCCACGTGACAACCATTAGTCGCACGGAGGTCAGTCATACCGCGAGGTCGTCCACATCTAAGCGTAATAGAATCGGTGACATCCGGATAATGAAGCAGGCGCGTAATACATTCGGCTACTGGACTGTTTGTTGGTGGAGAGAATGCAAAAGAATATTAACTTTTAAACGAAGCTAGTCCTCAGAAGTTCGAGATGGAATTTAAGGCAGCATATAGTCTTCGTGATAATGCAGATACCTAAAACCTCGAAATGAGGGCTACTAGCACTCCATAGAAGGGAATCAAGAAAGTTGGGTTTAAATCACATGAACAACAGTTCGAGTCAAGTGATCAGAGTTTGATGGCTTAGCCAAGTTCATTCCTCTGCGATGAGCGGCGGGTACCTTGCAGCCAGCATCGCGCGTTGTGCAAAATCCTGAGAGATGTCATATCACGTGCTAGGCAACCACTATCAGTGACAACTCAGCAGCACTGGACAGATTAGCGCTGGCTATCAACCGTTTTCAGCTGTGCTTTGCATCCTCCAATTACATGGCATTTCTTCAAGACTGGCAGGTACCGCCCTCTGCGATGGCCCTTGGTGGAGATCAGCTAGAAGTCGTTGAAAAATTCAACCATTGGAGTAGTTGTATCAGCGCTTAGGGGACCTAAAATAAGATCACGAACCGTATAGCAAAAGCTGGAGATGCTTGTGCTACTCTTTTCCACACGGAACGCTGGTGCGACATCACTGCAGTCGTCCGTTCAAGCCTAGTATGCAGTTACAAAACCTGACCCATCCGATCGACAGACGTAAAGAGGCTAGTGGCGTTCGACCATCGGAGTCTTCACAGCACATTTGGTGGGGACACCACGTGAGCAATGAGGTTATTCGGCGTCTTGTCTACAGCGCAGAAAAAGAAAATGAACCACTTAGCACCATTACTTCACGCATAAGCCTCCGATGGCAGGGTCACGTGTTATGCATGCTAGCACAACGGTTCGCGCGGTTTGTATTGTTTGCGCGACAAGGAGCTACGTGAAGGAAGAGAAGGAGAGACCAAGTCATGACTTGATCATGAAACACGAAGGCCGTCACTCCGTTCCAAGCACGACTTCATCGTAAATGTATACTAAATAATAAAGCAAGTTTGTTTTGCTGGGGTTTATTTTTTCATTCTCTTTTACTAACATCTAACCAAATTGTATTGCGGCAGAATGATGAATGGATTGGTGGATGCATGCTTCAGAACAGATGAGCCGCAATACTAAAAGCTAATGGTAAACAATCGTAACGTTTCGAAAACAAGTGTAGGATCCTAGGTTGCAGGAAACAGTGATCTTGGTAGACAAGGTATACGGCGTCGTTGACAGAGAATGGGGAGTGATGTACATATACCATGATAATTGCTGTGGCTTTCTAAATTAACATTCATATAATGTACTTGAGAATGCCGCGCGGGCCGTGACAAGAGTTTGGTGGATAAGCTCGCTGATTCTTTGAGGAGTGGAACGCAGGAAACATCCTTTCAGCTATAAGCCCGGAAGTGCAACTGTACGACTCATGCGCTGCAGCGTTTGATGAGCTAAGTGCGGAGTTGCTACTGATCCTAGGGATGCCCTTATGGTTACAGTAAGGGTAAGAGGAGTAACATAGGTGTCAACAACTATTACCACATAAAACTGAAGTCAGTATTAAAAGCTTTCGGAACCTGAACAAACTCTTTCGTGCTTGCGTGTTGGAGACCAACATGGTAGGGCAGCAATGTGGATGTCACACCAGAAGCAGTACAAGAGATATGGTGTTCGCAAATCCATAGCTGTGAGAGAAATGCTGTGCAGCAAATCAAGTATCGTACACTTTGAATGTTTAGTTACACAGGGCGCCCGATGCAATGAGCCGTGATGTGCTTGAGAATGACCTTTGCATGTCAACTACTTAAGTGCCCATATATCGACGTGCGAGATATAATGCGATTGCATGGACACGCTTGAATGACTTCAACATTGTCTCCAGCATGCGGCGTGATGCCGCTTACTTTTCCCAACTTATATATACTTCACTACTATGCTCTATTGCACCCCTGAATAGGTAAAGAATTTTAACCATGAACACATGAGTAATGCCGGCCCGTAGTCTTAAGGATCACAAGCTTGCCTTGAAACCCGAAGGAGCGGGTTCGAGCCTACCGCGCGACCTTCGCATTATCCTTAGCACACGCGCGACTGCTGGTGGTTCCGGGGAAGCGAAGTGTCGGTACTACACACCGGCGTACTGCTGATGCCCACGGATAGTGGACTGTTGGATATTCATCACCTCGGTATAAGAATCTCAACGCGGCTGACAAAAGTTTGGATGTTGTCCTTAACAAACAAATAAACGATACCTGCACAGGGTCGCTAAATAGAAATGCAAAGCAGGTAATGATAAAAGTATTGAGAAGGGATAGGCTTGTACACGAAATTAGTAACTTCGGGATCGTATGTCGCTTCGGATCCTCACCAGGAGCAGGGTTAACCTGGTCCTGTGAATCTCAGCGTTGCGGAACAGATTAATCCTAGTCTGCTACGAGATTATGCGGCCAAAAGGCTTGGGTGCGGTACGTATCAGTGTCGACTGTCGATTCAGGCAAGGGGAATAGCAGGTGCGAAACAGTCATCACAGGGCTATTAATAGCGAGTTGGTATTATATAGATTAATGAGATCCAAGTCATTTTCAATTAAGTCCAGTGAAACAACTATGATTCAGGTACAGGAATGTAGTGGGTCAAATCGTGCCGACTCGTGACAAAAATAATAGTCACCTGATGAAGACAATGGAGTAGAATGCAAAGAATACACTAGAAAAAGGCAAAATCAAGCGGGTTGCCACGTCAACAGTCAGTTACATGTGATAGAATGTAGGAGTGCCAGTGAACCCGCGACCGTGCCAGTTGAATAAGATCTCAGACCCATCCTAATACATGTATCTAGCCCAACCAAGGTTCTTGGCCAAATTCTTCATATCTTCTAGCTATGTAAATGCTGAAAATGAGCACATTAGGGTTCGTAAAGCTTATTTTGATTTGACTTGACTAAGTCGTCGAAGGGTTATCTTGCGGTTTCGTGTAACTAAATGGAGTGAGAGCATACATAGCACATCTAGAATGGTGATTAACGGGCACACGGAGGTAAGGAAACACAGGTGCTACGCAACAAATACGCCAGTCGTCTGAAAGAATTTCGCCAGTAGTGTACAGAGCGGATGTCGCAAGATACTTCGCGAGCATACAGAACACAGAATGCAATAATTGGGACAGTAGTGGACATGATAAGGAGCATCTAACGAATCAGCTTTGGATAGCGGGAACAACCACCCTACATCCTTGCTGCAGAATAATAAATAAGGAGAGAGGTCTCAAATAACATATGAATAATAATAATAATGAGGACATAAGAAGGGTGATGACGCGGAACTTGATGGAAGCATAGGTGTAAAGTCCTTATGCACTGACAGTACGGCAGACAGCTACTATGTGAGGTGGCGGAGTCGTCGATACGGCAAGCTTCCGACCCGCATCATTCTGCGTCATCTTCGACATAACCCTAAAAATAACCCATCTCTAGAAGAAACTTTGAACTGGTAGGTAGAGTAGTAGGCTATGTGGAGTGTCCAGTTATGTTGTAAGACCAGGCCTGGACCCAAGTCCGCAACTGAGATGAGTGGACAGCGCCAAACCGTTCTAAAAGGAGTCACTATTTGACGCCCATCAAAGGTGGCACGTCCAACCTTATACCAATATAGGCTAGGAAAACAGAAGTAAATTCTCGCCGATATGTGATGAGTGGGTACGACCAACATGCACCTAAATAAAGGAATATTAAACTTAGCAGTTGCTCATCCGTAGTAAATCAAACATGAGCCCTCAATGCAGATCCGCGAATCTTGCCAGTTACAAGAACGACAGTGTTAAGCTTTACAAGCAATATTCAGAATTCAACCGCAGTTAAAAGTCTGAAAGCATTCGAGTCCCCGACCAAAAAGGTCGTGACAGTGCTGAAAGGAAAGATTCGCACTGCAATTCATCTTGTGGAATTGGCTTACCAAACTACCTAGTGGTGATGTCAGCTAGGTGGTTCGTGGTTGTTCCGTTCCAACGTATTGTTCGGTAGCAGGGTTCAAAGACGTGGTGGGTTTTCACTTAACACCCGTTCTCCCTGCAAAACGTTAGAAGATCTATTTAATATCATTGCAACGTAGTGGGGGCATCGCGCTAAATAAACTCACAATCCCTTACTTCGCTAGAGTATAATACTATATCCCATTAAACGTATGCCACCATTACAGGTGTATGCGCTGGGTCTCTAGTTACCGCCTCCCAAAGACGTCATTTCTTAACTTCGTTTTGCTACTTTACGGGCAGGCTAATCAGCCAAAGGTTCGCGACGATGTCCTAAGTAAAATCGTAACTTCAGCCACGGTAACTGGATGTACCACAACCTCTGAAGGAACCATTGGTGATTCTGCTGCTAAATTGTGATCTATTGTTAGTGTCTCACGTTCATGTACCTTCACGAAACACGACCGCGCATTTGTTACTTACCTTACCTATTTTTAGCTGTCAATTCCTGTTGGCATGGATCCGCTTTGGCCACCGGTGGACAAATAAAACAACGGACAAGCAGATGTCCCAGACTGACCCCCTTTGGCAGCATGATACTTCACCCCTTGGTGAGAAACAAAAAAGAGCGCAGGCATACATTCAGCGTAACTGAGGCTTAAGACCTTCCATCTATTCCCTAGCTCGCAATCAGAAAGTCAAAGAGAATGAGACGTGCTCCAATCACTTAGTTAGCGTTTACCATAAACTTTAGGCAGTTCACTTCAGCCCATGTATCTCAGTTGCTCACTGAATAGAGGCTATCCTTTCAAGAACATGCTCTGTTCACCCGACGTGTACCGACTGAAGCAAATCCATTGCAGTGTGATCTGGAGTAGCAAAACATGTGGATACAATTTCATGGGAAGTGCCTACAAAAAAAACGAGATTTGATGATGGACTTGACAAAGATGGTAAAA